TGTGTGTGTGTGTGTGTGACTGGCTGACAGGAATAAAAGAGGGTGATAATGGCCGTCGATGCTGTTTTTGTCGTTTGATAAGTGCTGTTTCCTTTTCTGGTTTTTTTTTTCTTCTTCTACTTTCTGGGGCCTGAAACACCCCCCCACCCCCCACCCCCTCCACCTGATCCTGCTTTATTTATTGGAAGAAAAGAGAGGGGCACACACACCCTCCCCCAACCACCCACCACCCCTCAGTGCCCCCTCCATCCTGGGAAGGATCCCCCACAATGCCGCTGTTTAACCCGAGAAATGGGACAAAAGGTGGCGGTGGTGGTGGTGCGGCCTCTTCTGAGACGCATTCAGGGCTGTTTATCACACGGGTGAGAGTGTGTGTTTCTGATTTTACACTTCTATCTTCGTGGGAACCACTTTATGTGTAGAGTGAGGTGTTTCTGAAACAGAAGATATTTTGTCCAGTCGAGCCCTCACTTACTCAAAAGGGTTAAAACATGGCCATAAATAACAAGACTTGATTTTGTCTTCTGTCAGGTGACTCCAGACTCGTCTCACTGAACTGAGACTTGTTGACCTGAGATTTATGAGATGACCAAACGTTCTGTGTCCAATGAGGGCTGCGTACTCGTTCCAGTGACGCGTACATGCCCATGATTGCATTCCAATAGGTTGACAGATTGGACCTGGAAATGTTGGGCTTCATGCAGACGTGATCTCTACTTCAGCAGACAGAGGTGGATGACGAGGACGATGAGGACCTCAGCAGACTCCAGCAGACTGGTGCAAGCAGAAACTAACTTTCCTTTAACTAAATAACTTTAGACTTCAAGAAACGACTCAAGATGAACCTCCGGCCGCTGCAGGACTCCAGCCTCTGTTCGTTTGTCTTGAATGACTTGTCATTGATTGAAAGAACTTGGGTCTCGACTTTCACTTGGCTTGAATGACATAGAACATTTTTAAAATTACTTGAGACTCAACTTAATTTTGTCTCAGATCGAGATTTGGCTTCAGACTCTTCGTGTCTTATTTAAGATTTGAATAATTTGGTATTTTTGTTAGTGATGAAGTAATAAAACATTATAGTAATATTAACAGTATAGTAATAGTAATAAAATACTAATCAACAAACTATTTTCCTTGAACTTGCTAAAAAGGACTTTGAACTTGACTTAGATTTGGCCGTTGGCATTCTAGAGTGTAAATTAAAGAATTAAAACCAGCTCTGGTTTAGGGTCAAGTAAATGCATTACTCATTAGTAAGGGGCTTCAATAAAATGGAAATAAAAATATGTCTGTGTGTGTTTGTGTGTAAGAGAGTAGGAGTGAGCATGGGAAGCTGACAGATGCTTTGTGTATGTATAAAGTGTGCATGTGTGTGTGTCTGTGTGTGTGTGCTCTATTGTGTTAGTTCAGCATCATGAATAGAACAAAACGTTCTATAGAGCGGAGCTGAAATATGTGTGGGAGGTGTGTGTGAGAGTGTGTGTCTGTGTGTAAAGGCACGAACATTAGGAGTTCATTTATATACGTCAGTGGAAAAGAAAAGTCTTTGAATTCGTTCAATTCATTGTTAATTCAAACTAAATTCAATGAATAAATCATCAAAAACTGATTTTACCACGATATATTTACATAATGTATTGTAATTTAGGATAAAAATCTTAAATCTTATACTTTACAAGTTTCATTTTTTGCATTTCGACGTCCACGTTTTTATGTTTTTGCAAAAGTGTCTGTTTTTTTAATCTTGGTTTTTACATGCACGTGTCATTTATTTGTGTACATGTGTCTGCAGAAGGTGTGTTTATCATCTCAGTTCATTTAGTGTATGTGTGATTTATGTGTTATCTAAGATGAGCATGTGTGTGTGTGTGTGTGTGTGTTTGCAGGGAGAACCATCTCTGGAGGCAGGAAACATGCAGAAGCAGCAGACTGGTTCTTTGTGTTTGTCGTCATGATTTATGAGCTGTGAACACAGTAACCGACTGCCAACTCTGAGGATGGTGGAACTTAAAGTAACATCATGGTCTTTCAGGCTGTACTTCACATTCGACTCTTGTGAAAACCACATCGATCTATTTATCTGTCTGTTGCTCTGCAGCACAAGTCCATGTAATAAAAGAGTTTTTAAATCATTAGACCTGTGTGTAGGAAGTATTATGATTATGTGTGTATGTATCAAATATCGTGTTTCAAAACCTACTTCTAAAATTCCCACTTAAACCTTATTATAATACTTGTGTCTGCATGGATGATTTGTTTTCATAAACCGAGGAGTTCTGGGAGTTTTCTTAACGCAACACGAGCTCATTAACTTCTTTGGGGGCCTGTTTACATCGTTTCTATGTAAATAGCTTAGTTTTTGTTGAAATATCCACAGAATTCACTGAGGAACATGAAAAAAAACTGAAATACTGAACATCTTTGAACCAGATTTTGACACACGTAATTTGAAAATAAATTTTGACCTACTACAAAAAATATTTATAAGCCCATAAACTCACTGTGCATCATTGAGAAGAACATTTCTTCCCATGAACTTCTCTTATTTGGTTCAATCCAGAGCTGGATCAATTTAATTGTCTTAGTTAGCTCTGATCCTTTGACCCAAGGCTTCATCCATACTACTATGTTTTCATTTTAAAACGCATCAACTCTGTTAAGGATACGTCCGGCGTCCACACTACTCAGAGTTTTAGAGCCGCTTAAACACAGAAATTTGGAAATTAAATAGTAAAATAATCGGAGCCAAACTCAACAGCTTGTGTCGGTGTTTGTGTGTAAGCACCTGTTCGACAAGGATCTAAGAGGTTGCGTTCAAAGCCATGCAGAGCATCAGAGTTCAGGGGGGATAGAAGAGGAGGGTGGTGGTGGGCACAACGCAGAGGAAAACACAGGATCCACAGAAGTCATGTTAAAAAGGTTTATTTCAACAACTGTCTGAATCATGTTTGTTTGTTCTCAGTTCGAAGTCCCAAAAAAGTACAAAAAAAAAACAAGTACATCAAAGGATTAGAAATCACATCAAAGAAAACCAAGACACATTGTGTTGCTTCTTTTTAAATCAATCCAAGCAATTTTTTTTCCAATATTTATACATACTCACTGGATTAGTCAGACAAACATCAAAACCTCTCAGTAGCTTTATCGTAACATTTTTTTTTTTACAATGACGTTTTACGTAAGTTTTAAACTTCTGTATGATTTCTTTCTTTTTACAAAATACACCAATGCAGGCAGGGGAAGGTGTGTGTGTGTGTGTGTATACATATAAGCATGTCTATGACTTCATCTTTTCACTGTATGTGTATGCACACTACGTGCATGTGTATGTGTGTGCGTGTGTCTGTGTGTGTGTGTGTGTGTGTGCAGGTAAGAAATAAGAGGAGAGAAGAGTGACAGCAATAAGGGGGGCGGGGCTGCGAAACAGGGGAGTGATTGGATGTAAGAGGAAGAGGGGGGGTTGCAAGGCGGCGGCAGGGTGAGGCTGGCGGGGGGCAGGGTTACTCGGGCAGTGGCAGCGGTGGTGGTGGTGTAAGTGTTTTTTCAGCGACCCAGGCCGCTTGGTGGCAGTGTTGCCGTGTCAGAGACGGTTGCAGACTGGGTTGGTTGGCTGGTATGTTGGCTGGCTGGCTGGTCGGTTGGTCGGTTGGTCGGTGGGTCGGTTGACCGGTTAGGCGCACTCGGCAGCGCACTGACGGAGAGCAGGGAGGGAATTGGGGGGGCTTCCTTTTGCCGGCGCACCTTGTCGTTTTCGTGGGGTCGTGTTGTCAGGTTGCTGGGGATGTTTTGTTTTTTGTTTTCACATCATGTTGTTCTGCAGTGAGTTTACCTCCGAGGAGTTCTCCTCGCCCAGGACCTTGTGGTTCTCGTGTTTGGGGGTCAGAGAGTTGTGGATGTTGAGGGAGTCATCCTCCTTGGGCGGGGCCTTCACCGGGTCCTCCAGCTTGTTCTGGGAATTAGGATCATCCTACCCAGGGAGGGGTGGAGGTGGATGGGTAGGGGTAGAAAGTACAATTAGAACCACAACAGGCAACATGTTACTTGTTCAGCAGAAGCTCTGTTGTGACCAACTGGTGGAAAACTTTGCTTTTTGAATTTGAACTTTACCTTTATCGTTGCTAAAGAAAATCTCAATAAACTATGTCCATATTGTACAACTCTGCTCCTGACACTTTACGTTCAGTGCCAATGTTTAGGGCCAGTTATGGAAGTGGTGTGTCCTTGATGTGGCGAGGTGAAGGGTATGTAGTGCTTCTGCAACTTTCATGTTGAGGCCAAGAGTTTGTATCCTGTTTCCTGAAACCACAGTGTTCACCTGCAGGTTTTAACCTGACCATACCTCAACCATAATGTATCTGCCAAAGATCACAGATCTCATAAAAAACATTGGCATTGAACGCAACAAGTCTTGCAGAATCATCAAACTGGTGACAGTGTTTTGGTACCGATCCCACACCTTTTGATTTGTCTTAAATTTCATGCAAGAGATTTCCATCTTCCACCTTCATGCTTTAAAGAACTAGACCAGTGTGTCCACAAGTTTTAGCTCCTTAACGACAAACCTTTACTTTACTTTCTTTTACACAAAAGGTAGCTACAGCTTTCCATACATTTCTTTTTAGCATTAAATCAAATATACACTGACTTTTGACACTTGCCTGAGTTGTGTGATCCATGAACGTGAGGATAATGTTTGAGTTTGGATCAAGTTCTAGAAACGTAAGCAATGTTTAGCAATGCAGCTTATTTTTGATTTGAAGTATCAGGGCTAAAACATGTTAAAAAAAATGAAAATAAACCACTGGTATGATTCTTTAGAGACTTTCAGGATGCAGTAAAAACTATGAAAATAGCAAACAAAATAACATTGCAGCTGTCGTATTGTTCAGTTTCAGTATCAGGCATCAGTCAGTGGTTTGGAAGCTCCACTGTTTGATCATCTTCATGCTCGGCTGGCGTGTTGTGTTTGGTTGAGGAGACAGTGAGGTGAACTGCATGAGCAACACCCCCCTCTCAGGCAACCCAGGAAGAGCACATGCACATCCACATGCAAGACCCCTGCAACACACCCCATGACCCCCATGTTGTCGCTCATGCAGAATCACACGTCTCCTCCTTTATTTTCTTCCCCAAAACAAAACCAAAACAGCACCGAGCCGTGATAAACTGTCAATCCTGGAGAGTTTTCTGTTGGTACCACCGTCATACATACCAAAACAGTTGCTGGGGGTAAAAAACAACATGTTTCTGAGGTTTCACTTTAAGTCATCTGAATTTAATTAAGGTCAGGGGGAAAAAATTGATTGCGGGGTCCGTTTTAGCTCGATTTTTCCAGCCTCTTATCCCCATTAATGCTGCATGGCATCATCGACCCTGCTGCGCCGAGGCTTCCTGGGGCGTCCGTCTGTGCCTCTTTGTCCACAGCGCACCCGTATACAGATGGACACACAAGCTGAGTATGGTGAGATAGTCTTTCACACACACAGGCATTCACACACATTCCAGACCCTGAGGCCTGTGCCATTTACAAACACACCCTAATTGAATGTTTGCGTTTGAATTCAATGGCACTTTTAGGAAAGGAAGAGCAGTGAGAGCATTTACCCGCTGGCTGTTGGCCTAGATAGTAACTTCAGGCAGGACGTGCGGATACGTCACTTCCATGGTTACGGGGTAGGGGCCCTCTGTCCTCCCGTCAGCGTGAAACTGGAAAATGTGTTTTGTTTGTTGGATTTCATTGCTGTCACGCATTAGGTGGAGGGGAGGCGGGCGGTGGGGAGGGGGGTGCACAGAGTCACAAGGACTTTGAAGTTTAAAGGTGTCATTTTGGGAACAGAGATAAACAGGGTTCGGATGATGATGATGAAGATGGTGATGAAGATGGTGGAGGCACATGGGCAGTTAATGTCCTTGGTTTGCTAATATGATGAATTAAAGCATCAGACAATAATTTTAAGATACAGAAAGAATTATCATCACTGCTGAATTGGTTCTTTTGGAATTTAAAGTAAAGACATTATTCTTAGTTTGTTGATTTTTTTATTCAACGTCATCGTCAACAATTTAAGTTCTGCCATGCTTCACCTTAGCGTGCTGATGCTAACATTTAGCTCAAAACATGGCTGTGGAGTCGGTCAAACAAGGGTCTTTAAGTTTATTGAACAAGGCAGTCATCTTTGCAGGAAGTAAAATGGTTTATGGGAAATGGACCTGAATTTGAGGTTGTACGATTGCAGCAACAAATCATTTAGATATAAATTAGACCCTAATGTGAGTTTATTAAACAGTATATTTGATAAAAATGACGTGTGCAGCTTATCATGCATATTGTTTGTTCGTCTCTGTTTTCTTTCGGATCAGTTCTTTTTTATCTTCAGCTATTGATTAAACCCCTTGTTTGCATTCACAGTTTACACTTGAGATTAAAATATTTGAATTGGAATGAATGTGCATGTTTATTAATGTCCCTGCACGTGCTTCATGATTCTATATGTGGGTGTGTGTGTGTGTGTGTGTGTGTGTGTGTACATACTCATTTGTGATTTGTTTGTGTGTATTGACTGGCTCCCTTTTCTCTGAGGTGTTTATGTGTTTATATCAGGTTTTGTGTTTGCATTCAAGAGTTTGTATTAGTATCAGGTTTGTGTGCACACTGTACACGTGTTTGTGTCGAGTGCAGAGAATTTAGAAGTTCATGATGCGGCAGAGTTTTTCTATAGTTACTGGAGAACATCTGTAAATGACGGAAACCGGATGAAAAATAAAACCGCTGGAAAAATGTTCAAATATCAGATCTTTATAAAGAGCTGAACTTCTCTGTAACTGAGCTCACATTTGCCAAAATCAAGTTTCATTAGTCAGAATTCAAAATACATTTTTCATATAAACGTTCTTCACAGTGGTTTAGATTTCCAAGCTGTAGTTACAGTGTCTCTGCTTAGAAAAGCTAAACTGGGCGGTTAAATAAAGCAGTGATCAGCTCTAGTGTTTCCAGTTCCCAGTATAACTCAATATGATGATTACATGAGTCTATTTAAAAATAGAGATTATTTACTCATTGTATTAGAGTCCAGTTCCACAACATGCCTTCAGCGTCTGCTCTGTCGGTCAGTTACGCCCGAGAGACGATTCAGTCGATGGAAATACAATCCTCTTAGAAATTACAGGCAGCTCTGACCGCTCAATTCATTCTGTGTTGAATTTATTTAGTATTGACCAACGACAACAACAACAACACAAAATGTATTCCAATGTTTGCTGTGGAAAGAGAGTGCGAGGCTGGACCCTGCAGAACGACTCCGGGGAAAAGAGTGAGGACGATCAGGATCAATCTACGACAGTGAATGAAACACAAGTCGTTCTATTACTGCAGGGACACGGGGTGTGTGTGTGTGTGTGTGTGTGTGTGTGTGTGTGTGTGTGCGGCACCACGGTTGTCTGGTGTGTCAAGGTTGCCACAAGGTCAGTACATTTTCGTTGTAAATTGGTTTTTTTGGAGCGTTGTTATAACCAGACTCTGCACCTTTAAAGGGACACTTCACACAATTTTTCATGGCGTAAAACAGGAAGTGTGGACCAGGCTTCGTGTGTTTGTTCCATTGTCTCATTTGATCCGGTTAGTTTTGGTTTCACGTTGTGATTTAGGGACTTAAGAATTTTGTCTGATGTAGGAGTTCTGTCATTTCATGGATTGTATTTGTTAACTTTTTGGAATAAAGATAAATAGATTTAAAAAAAAAGTATTCTGTCCATTTGAATTGAGAAAATTAAGTGATCGTTATTGCTACGAGCAAAATGAACGTCCTCGTGGTTCAGACATGATATCGTCGGAGATGAAGACTGCAGCTGCTTCCTCTTCTCTTTCTTCTTCTATGGTTTAATGCTGTCTCTACTTCCTGTGATTGGTCAGAAAGTCTGAATTATCCCCAAAAAATGTTTTCAGTTAAAGGTATATTCATTTCCAACAGGTACGATGATCTTTTGTTTGTCTTTATTTGGTGGGCGGGGGGTAAGACTCAGATCGGTCCACTCAAGCTTGAGAGAGGGTGATTGACAGGGCCACAGTAACAATGAGAGAGCTGTTTGGGAGGGTGAGGGGGGCGGGACTTTCTGACATTTGGGATTTTGGTCTTACCTCGCAGTCGGACTCCTCTTTGGTCTTACACTCCCAGGTGTATCTGCTCATGGTTTTCTGAGGGGAGGGGGACGGGGCAAAGGGTTATAACTCCTCAAAACCACTCAAGGTCCAAATCCTCAGAGACAAGACAGAGACGGACAGTCGAGAGACAGAAGACGAGGAGGGTTTGAAGAAGAGGCGACAGATCAGAGACGATACAGAGAGATTAAGAAAGATGGAGAGAGACAGAGGAGGTAAAGAGACTTTCCTCTCAGACGACAGCTGAGATCCCCAGCTGGCTGTCGCACCTCTTGTGGAAACACACAAACTCTCCGGTGCTTCTTCACAGTCTTTCTGTGTTAACAGTAAATACAGCTCTGGACATGTCTGGTGAGGTTCTGCAGACACTGGGCTGTTAGTGTGGAAGGGAGTTGAGGTTATTTGGTTTATTAGTCAGTGTATTTTGGTTATTTTGGGGGGAAACTAGTGAGTTGGGATGTTTTTTGGGGGTTTAGGGGAAGCCTTGTGTTTATTTCTAGAATAATTCAGGATGTGTTTGAGAAATGTGTTAGAGGAATAAACCAGGGTTGAATAGTAGATGGAAATATTTGTTTTTGAAACAAGAAAAGTCGTCAGTCGATGCTTTGACTGAACTCAAATCATTTACGGGAACAAAACGAATCTGAATCTGAATACAGGATACAACCTGTTTATCATATTCAATCTATTGCTTCCAAAAATGTGCTAATTCAATAAATACAACTATAAAAAGTTTAACTTTGGTGCAGACAAGTTTATGTTCTTAATCTGTGGCTTAAGAACATAAACATATTTTATCATCTGGAGATAAGATGATAAAATAATATTTATGGGTTAATTCTTGTAAAAATTGGACGTCCAGATTTAGGTATGTTAAGGTTTAAAATATCAATATGTATGAAACCAAAAAGTAGTTTCTGATTGATTTGATACAATCACGTTTTAGTTTTAAAACACATCACTGTTGTACTTAAAAAGTCAGCTAAAAAGATTAGAGAGTGGAAATGAGGAACCTGAACCCTGACTGAAGGTGCCCTGTGGAGTCTTCTTTGACCTTTCCTCACCCAAGACATGTGGAGTGTATTCATTCCTCATAAATCCTTGGCAAAGCTGAATGTTTAATTTTTCACACATGACCGCCATCGAGTGTGAATCAGTGAGAAACTGAGTCTAGCAGCATCTGGTGTTCAGAAACTCCACATGGCACCTTTAAACGTCGAGCAAACATTTTCAAAAACTATTCAATCCACTGGATGAGCAGGGATTTTAGGGTTTGTGATTAATGAGTGGTGTTGAAGACATTTTAAAGATGTTGTTAGGAGGTGATGACAGATGTTTTGTGATGTCTTGTCTATTGAGGGGAGTGAAAACAGTTTGTAATTGGCACATGAGAATTTGAGTTGTGCAGGCTTAAAGCAATGAGAACTATAGGGAAACAACTGACTGCTGCAGTTTAACAGGCGAACACAACTACTGATGGAGTTGTTAGAAGGTGGTACCACATCTTCAAAAGACAGACGTTTTAAAAAACTGCAAATGAAAACAAAACAGACTCGACCTCAGTTGTAGCACTTAGAACTACCCATGCTGCTACAACCGCCGCGTTGCCGCTACTCGCTACCCATGCTTCAGTTAGTGAGGCACCTGTCGGCTCTACGCTGCCGCCTGCAGGCAACAGCAAGGCGTTGCATCTCAGATGTTTATCCTGATAACCCCCGAACATTTCCCACATCACCTTTAGCTTACCTGGTTGTGACATCATCCTGTGCCCCCCCCCACCCCCTTTGACCAATCGTAACAGCCCCTCCCTCTCTCGTCCATTTTCAGGATAAACAAGTAAAGAAAAGCATTTTGTAAAAGGTACAGTTAGCATAGCACAGCTGCAGTGGCTCACATGTCCACCGGATGGCGCATGTAAGAGTAAAGAGCAGGCATGCCATGACAAACCAATGCTAGAGGTGACCAGAGAGAGAGCAGATCAGAGAGAGAAGGGGGTGGGCAGGGGGTCGCAGCAAAGGACTGTGGGAGTTTTCTCGTAAAAGGGCTCGGGTTAAAGCCAGGGCGGGTCGCTGCCAGCGCTGTGGGGACGTTCCATAAATGTTTAGTCCGTGTGGTTCCAGGGGGAATTTAACCCTTAACCCCGGCTGTGTCAGTGCCGATTCACCATCGGAGCTGATTTACGCTGCATCTGTTCTTTGTCAGCATGAAATCAAGGGTCAGAATAAATCAGTGGATGTTTGATGATCTTAAAATAAGTGTTCAAGAGAAAATACTTGTTTTATTCCAACTTAAAACTAAAAATTAAATTTTCAACATCAGCTTCATGCAGAACATGAACTCATTTCATGTTTTATTATCTTTGAGTGTGTGTGTGTGTGTGTGTGTGTGTGTGTGTGTGTGTGTGTGTGTACAGTTGCCTTCACTTTCATAGCAGAATCAATAAGCAATAAACCGCAAACTTAAATCAATAAACACGATGAAACTACGAGGCTCGGGAGCTGGTGCGTTGCCATGGTAACAAGTTGCAAGAGCGCAGCCCTCCCTGGGTTACTCGTTTGTACGAGCCATCGCAGAATGTAACCAGCCTCCTGACTCGTCATGGTTTTATGGTTACTGTTGACCTGAGTCGGGTCGTCTTATATCATCAATAAGGTGGAAAACTACAAGACTACAACCATGTGTATGTGAGTGTCCGCCCTCCATCCTCATTTTCATTTCATCCGCCACTTGAGAAAACTCCCATCATCCATCCTCATACTTCGACCCCACCCGTCCCCCCTCCTTCAGCGGGTCACACCTCAGAGTATTGGAGAATACTCATGCCCATGCATTAGAGGGAGAGTCGGGGGGCGGGGGGCGGGCGGAGGGGGAGATGCAGAAAAAAGGGGGTGAGAGAGAGGCGAGAACCACGTTACCTGACAGATAATGTTATCATAGTAAGCCAATGCACGGGCATGAGGGACGTTAGGAGGGGTGTCGCACAGTTTCCTTACATTTGGGTGGGAGCCCTCAGCGATGGTGGACAGCGAGAAATTATCATTGTGCTGCTCCGATGAAGGCCGGTACTTACTGCTGGGAGTCGGAGGATGGAGGGAGGGAGGAGGAGAGGAAAGGAAGATTAGTGAAAGGTGGAGGAAAAGGAAAAAAATACGTTGTTGGAGAAGATGTGAGGAAGTGGAGAGGAAAGAAAGAATGAGATCACAGGGAGGTGAGGAAGAGGAGGACAGGGTTGGAGAGATTTTGTGTAGAGACGGAAAGGAAGGGAAAGGGCAAAGAGAGGTGTGAAGAAATGAAGAGAAAGAAAGAAGGAAAGACACATGATCACCGGCAGAGACAAGACAAGGAAAAGATTAGAGGAGAGGATGAAATTAAAAAGGTTGGAAAAAGGAAGAAAGAGTATGAAGATGGAGGAGGAAGAAGAGGAAGAAGGAATTAATGAATGTGAGGAAGAGTCGAGGGCGAAATGACATTTTCAGGTGACAAAAGAGAACAAAGACAACACAGATGGAGAGATGGTGAAAGCAAAGGGAGACACACGAGGAAGGAAAGGACAAAAGTGGACGAGAGAAAGCGACAAATTCGGGACAAAGATTTCATCGTTGAAGAAAGACGGGATTGTCAGAGGAGCAGAAGGAGGGGGGAGAAAAAAAAGCAAGAAAGCAGAATTAGTTTGACGGCAAGTTCTCGTCCTCTGTTTGTGAAACGACAAACAGAGAAAACACAACGGACACAACATTTATCTGTGATGCAACAAAGAGAATAAAATGTGTCATCTTCAGGTTTAAGTTACGTGATTCTTACAAGTTCCTACAGACGCTAAACTTCTCACATTCAACCTACATAGACACGATACACAGGTTTTAATAGATCTGTCGTTTATCAGCTTATTTCAGATGTGATGAGGATATTGATGCAGAAACTCTCCAGAGTTTGTCTTTCTCACACGAACATCGATTCTCCGCTCGGAGGCGTTCACAACAACACAGAAAACTCTGTTCAGGTGCAGCAGAGAGAGGCTGGACGTTACGTCTTAATTCTGCTGTGGAGATCCTCATCATTTACAGCACATCAATACCACCGTCGGCTCCCTTCACCAAAATCTCTCTTGACATCTTCATCGTGTCTTTTACTGACGTATTTGTTTTCTTTTGGATTTTTTGCGTCTGAATTGCCTGAATTTATTCGCCTTGTTTATTCCATGTTTATTAATGTAAAGGTTGAGGACCCATCTTACAGAGTTCTTAATTAAAGAACTAGCCTGGTCGGAAAAAACTCCTGAGAGCGCCCAGAGCTTCTCACTCTGACGCTTGCATTCTCACATCAGCTCCTCTGGAGAATGTCTGGAGATTATCGGGAGTTCAGTGCATGTCTGAAAGCCGCTAAACAAAACAGAGTGAGAGGTCCATAGCTGGTTTTTGACAGTCCAACAGATTTTTCTGTCTGTCTCCATCTCATCATCATCTCGTCTTCGATTGCTCCGTCACAGCGTTCATGAAATATAAACATGGACGTTCTCGCCTGTGGATCAGAGAGACGAGCATTTTTTGAGCAGGAAGTAGATCACAGCCTCGTTAACTATGGATGCGACGAGGGAATAAGAAGAAGAAGCACAACACGATATTTGACGGCGGCTTCTGCTTTTTGGAGTCTTTAAATTGTAGGAGCGAAGATTTATTTGGGGGGGGGGGGGGGGTCAAATGACGTGCGTTTCATGCATGAGAAGGAATTTATTTGCGAGACAGATCTGTGACGCTCTTGTCACACTTATCGTCTCGTTCGGTCCCGAAAACAAACATCTCTTCCCTTTGAGGAGTCGGAGATGAAGAGTAAAGGAGGGAGAAATTCAAAGACGCTCTGAGGGGAACTTCCAAAGTTTCCCGCCTCATTCTCAAGATGAGACGAGAGTGTGTGTTTATGTGTTTTAAAGTAGCACGCCCCATTGATGGGATTAGACGTTCACAACTGCTTGCTGATTGGTTCTTTTTGTTGCCTTCGCTGATTCGTCAGGATCCTATCACATGACCCCATCGTGGGAGAAAACAACCCGGTTCAGCCTCGGGGTCCACAGCCAGGAGAATCGATCACAGGCATCGAGATGTTATTCGTTTGCGAACTCGTTTGCAGTCTCGCTCTTTCTGCGACTAACAACCAAAAGCTTCCAGTGTGCGTGAGTGGTCACTCGTGTGTATTAGTATGGACAGGGATAAGAAATGGTACAGAGCCAAAACAATCACTTGGACAGAAATGGTTTCCTCCCTCCCTCCCTCCCTCTCTCCCTCCCTCTCTCCCTCCCTCCTTCGTTCTTTCTTCGCTTTCTCCATCTTTGACCAGGATGTTGGGTCTCGACTGCGGCAGAGAAACACTGCGACTGCAATTACCCACAGCAGATGGGGGAGTGTGGGAGTCTCATGTATTCATGAGCCTTGTCAGCAAACAAACACACACACACACACACACACACACACACACACACACACACACACACACACACACACACACACTCATCTGAAAGTGTCATGCTGAGCTTGTTTCTCTGTAGCCACACTCTCATTCCTCTTTTCCTCTCTTTCACTTTCTCTTTCCCTCGCTCCGTCTCCTCTCCCTCTTGTTTCTCATCCTCTCCTCTCCCATCCACTCCTCTTCTCTGTCAGCCTGCTCCTCCTCCTCCTCTTCCTCCCTCTCCTCGCTCCTCTTCGATTTTTCTTTAAGCCGACCACTTGATGAGGCTGTGTTGTGTCTTTCATGCTGCACCCTGCCGCTACGCACACACACACACACACACACACACACACACACGCACACACACACACACACACACACACACACACACACCCCTCAGGTCGCACAGCTGTATGTAGGTCAACCCCGCCTCCCCCCCATGCCTCCCCCTCCTCTCCCGATCAGACTGCCCTACTTTCAGCTGGATCCACAAAACCAATGACATCACCCTTTTCTCCCTTTTAAAAAAAATTCTGTTTACTCGCATCCCAGCTGCTCCTGACTGCACCTCCTCTCCTCCTCTCCATCACCTTCATCATCCACCCTCTCTTCCACTATCCCCAGCATGATGGTTCCAGGTATAAAGCAGACCCTGTGCACGGGGAGGGATTCAGATCCTCTGGTTCCACATTTGCATCGACGAGCTGCTGCTCATCCACAGCGGCTCTGTTGCCAGGGAGATCACAGCTGAAACACTAAAGCAGTGGAAACAAGCCTTTTTTATATTCAGTCCAGACCTTCAATCTCCTGCAGTTTATATTCAACACACCTCCCTCCAGCAGAGGATTTAATGGCTTTCAACCCTGCATGTACAGACATCTCTAAAGTTTCACGACCAAACATCTCCATCATATCACGTCAACTTTGTCCTTTTTTTAAATTCTTAAACCGGAAATACATTTTATCCTTTGGCAATTGTCACACGTTGAACAGATCCGGAGCAACATTTTCTTTGTGTGATTTGTTTCTACTTCCGTTCACATTCGTGTTCAGCCTCCTTTTTGCTCCCTTTTGGTCTCCACCGTCCCCTGAGAAGAATTTCTGTCTCTCATCTAAATCGTCTGCTATGTTCATCGCTTCCTATTCCAGCAGACACCTCCCACCCCCCCTCCACCTCCCTCCCTCCATCAGACCGTCCTTGTGTCTGCTTCCCGTCATTGTCACCCATCCCCCACCCTCGTCCCCCGCTCTCTCTCACAGGCCCTCCACAATTTCCTCTTCCTCCTTTTTTTTAAACCTCCATTTCTCTGTTCTTTCATTACATTGGATTAACATTGCTACACTGAAATAACAGATGGAGCTCACACCACCTTACGACTCTTTTCAACGTTTGATCGAAACAGTATTCTGTCTGCTGCACGATAAACTGCACATGACTTCGGGTCAGCTTTACTTATTTTGCAGCCAAAAATAAAGATTTCAATGCATTATTTTGCATGAAAATATAAAATATTGGAAAATAATAGTGATTTATATGAATACAACCTGAAATATGTCTTTTCTATCATGTTTTTTTTTCCCTGCTGACATCTAAGAGTCGATAAAATTAATTTATTAACATACTGGAACTTGTGAACTTTATGGGTTTTCACAAAAGTTTTATTTCTTTTAGAAAATCAGCAACTTTGCACTGTATGAATTTCACTGACCAGAGGGACACAGAGTTACTACAGCAGCACAGATCCCTGAAGCTGCTTTCAGATACCGACCGAAGTTTCAGACATTTTTCCGGAGGGGCCGTGATGATGTTTCAAACGTGTGACGGTTATAGAACTGAGAAAAACAAAAACAATTCAGATATCTCAGGACGACGACGAGGAGAAGACACAGATGAAGACGACAACTCGGAAAGACGACGAGATTCAAGAGGTTTTGGTGACACTGGTGTTGATGTGCTGTAAATTAAAACACCTGAGAAAATGTTTCTACAGCAGAATTTATACGTCATGTAGTCTCCTGCTGCTCGAGGATTATCTTATCTTATCTCATTTTTTGGGCAAGAAAATCGGTGCAGACAAATGAAAACGTGTGTCTTCTTTTTGTAGTTGTGTTGTTACTATACAACAACCACCAAGCAGCTGATGAGTAACAGGCTTCAGCCCTGTCACTCTCTCTCTCTCACTCTCATCATGGTGTCTTTGAATTGATGAATTTATTGTTCTTGTGTCCGGGGCACAAAAGACTCCACAGCTTCATCTGTTCTCTGCTGCTGCTGAAGGACACATGCTGCTGTTAACTCCTCCTCACTTCTTCTTATAAGGCGTCTCTTTGCTCTGCTGTCGGCACTTTACAACCTTCTCTTCGGAGATTTCAGCCCTGACACGATTACCATCTCTGTCTGGTCTCTGTCCCATCTCCCAGCCTCGTTTCCACTCGTCTAAACACCAATTAATCAGGAACACATCGCCTCATTAATTAGGATTTAAGAGGCTTTGTGTTCTAACGCTGCACTTGGGAGGATTTTTAAGAAAGAATAAAACTGCTCTCTCGGCCTCGTCAGCTTCAGATTTGACCAAACTTCTTTTCCCCTCAGCTCTCAGTTTCTGTATCGACCGTCTGTCTCTTCCATTCTCTAAACCCAACAACACAAGTCACAGCAGCAGTTTGGCCTCGAGGCAGCGTCGGCCACAGAAACAAAGCTTTCTGCTTCAGTCGTTAAAACTGATGGAGGTATTGTGCCGCGGCCGAGACTCTGGGCGAGGTAGCGCAGCAAGTTCACTCAGCAGATACTGAGTCACGGTAACTATGAGCAAGGCACTTAAGACTTTACTCTTTCAGTTTGCACACAAACAGATATTTGTATTAGTTTAGTGTAAGTTTCTATATTTCTTCATCAGAAACGTAAATATTTTCATGTTTTTCTCTTTGTGTATTTGAAATTAATCGTTCCTCCAGACCGGGACAGAAAAAAGCAAAGATTAACAGCCTCCATTGTGTAAATGATGATATCACTTGTTCCAGGTTCTCTGCAGAGCCTTACCTGCGCTTGCGCAGCTTCTTGTTCTCCGTCTTGAGGACGTGGAGCTTCTTGGCGAAGCAGACGACGATCATGAAGAGCAGCAGGACCACCAGAGCCGAGGCGCCCACGGCCAGACACATCACCTGGAACTCGGTCACCACAGACTCGCAGCGAGCGCCCTTGTGCCAGATGTAATCCTGGACATTACATCTGGAGGAGGAGGGTGGAGGGGTAGTTTCAGGAGGAAGGAAAGGTGGAGAGAAAACAGAAATTCAAGGAAAGAAAAAAAGAAATAGGAGGATGACCGAGGGGGATATGAGACAGAAAGAGGGAAAATAAAAAAGGTAAGGAACAAAATAGTGCAGAAAGGGAAAGAAAATGGAGGAAAAAGAACAAAGAAGAACATGTTAGTGGATTAAAACTTCTCTTATTATCTCATCATACTTTAGCTTTGTTTCATTACCTCCAACAAAGAGGAGGTTATGTTGTAACCCTGTCTGTCTGTCAGCAGGATTACACAGATTTCCACAAAACTTGGTGGAACGATGAGAAAGTAAACATTTGTGGTGTGGATCCGGACAAAGATGCAGATCTAGGTATTTTTTTCATCTCTGCCCATCTCTCTGTGAGTTTTCCCAAGAAACACTTTGTATAGGAGTGTGTGTGATGTGCTGAGATCTGTTAAGTGCCATTCTAGTTCATATATGTCTTGCTAGCATAATTTAACTGTCTCTGATTGAGTCTGTTTATGAACGCTGAGGATTTCCTCTCTGTTTCTGATTATCCTTAAATGCTTTGCTGTAAAATGTAAAATGCTCTGCAGCTGTTTAAAAGAAAGCATCATCACGTTTCCCAACACGTTGCGTGTTACATAAATCTTTAGTGTTGTGGTGAGATAATGGAGCGCAGGTGCGTACGCGGGATGGAAGAGTCGCGGGCAGGTTTTGAATGATGCTTTATTCCGATCGCAGAATGTCATCACTTAGTGTGTCTGGAAATAGAAAGAGGGAAAAAAAAAAATGCCTGTGGGGATTTTGTGGGTATGAACACACACACGCAGAGATTCTGTCACACAAACACTGTCATAAAAGACGTTTGCGCCTATAAGATTTAACACAATGCATATGGGCATCCATGTGAGGATGTGCATTATGGGCACATATGTGGACACATGCACAAAAACACACAAACATACAGACTCCCTCCGTGGTCGTTTTGGCAGAGCGCGGCCTCCACCCGGGGACATAAACGACAGGCAGATGGCTTCGTCTACAAACTGTTTAACGTTGTAAAAACAGCAAATCTATTTCGCCACTTAACGAGACCATAACGCCGCAGAGCGACGCCGCCTCGCTGTCACACGAGTGGAAAACCATGTGTGATCATGCGTGAATCTGGCTCTGTGTCCACAGGATCTGTTTCCAAACAAAAACTTCTGGTTTTAATCCAAAGCACATAAAGAGACTTTGGCTCAATAAGATAACCTGTGCGAATAATCGGAACCGTTGAGGAGTTCGACATCCCTCTCGTGTTTGTGCGGAGCTGGAATTTTATAGAAAGAAGGTTTACAAACTCAACGTCAACCGATGGGTGACGTCACAGCGAGCTGACCCTCAAAGGACAAGTGGTGCAGATAATGGATGGATAGAGTGGTGGATAATCTCATGAATTAGCAGGTGTAGAGGTGTTCCTAATAAAGTGCTCAGTGTGTGTGAAGTGAATGGAGGTGTCAGGGTTGTACGCTCGCTACATGATAATCAGGTTTCTTTCCCCGGCCGACTTCCCGGATCCCTGACGCTTTCATTTTGCCAGCTGAGGAGGAAACGCTGGCAACGACCCAGGAGACATTTTGAGTGGATGAAAGAAAAGGAGAGAAAGAAAAAACAGAAAGAGAGGGAGAGAGAGAGAGCGACGAAGGCCTAATATCACATTTTCAAGGAGACTCAACCCCTGAACAGTTTTGTGTTCACACAAAGAGGAGGTTTATGTAGGAGTCAGGGTCGGATGGAGGGAGGGGAGGAGGAGGAGGAGGAGGAGGAGGATGGGGGATGGATGCAGCGAGAGAGGGAGATGCACAAAGGAAGAGTGCCCACCGATGTGAGGATGTGCTTGTCGTCACGGCAACCCGGCTGAGCGGCAAGCGCAGCAGATGCACTGACATGCCATTCCATCAGAGGGACGTGGTCGTGTCTCTCCTCTCCTCCTCTCCATTCCTTCACTCCTGCTGCTCGTCTTCTTCAAAATCTCTTTTATTACTCTCCATCTCTCCATCTCTCCTCCCTCCCTCCCTCCTTCCCTCGTCTCTCCTGCACTCTACCCGGCGCCTCCAGCTGAATCACGTCTCTGCTTTCAGTTTGTGCAACCGTTTGTTTTTTTCTCCGACATTAAGGGAAAACTCCGCGGTCCAAGGTGAACGTTCGGTCGGTTTCAAGCGCAAAGGAATGAGAAAATGTTCCAGAAAACCAAAGCCCAACATAGAAGTGACCCGTTGTGACCCGTGCAGCCTGATATATCTTTTTCCTCTGAGCGGTGGAGCTCCGCTGCTGCCAAGAAATATCAACAAGACATTGTGCTGGAAACTCTGAGCTGACCTGTTGTCGTGATGGTTACTATGACGAATGTATTACAAAATAAATTACAAAATTCATGTTCATGTTCTATGTTGCCGGCGACATCAGGGCTGTAAGATGGTCCCAAATAAATGCTTGTTTGAATTAACTTTACTAAAACTACAGAGCTTATTGATAAATCAGGAAATTATTGAGTCTTTTCTTTGAGTTAAAGTAAAAATCTTTTGTAAAAGACTGAATGGAGAAACTCAGGGAGGGGGGTGAGAGCCACAGTTGTTTCTAGGGATTTGTCAAAAG